TTTTTATGGCTGAGTAGTATTCCATTGTATAACTATACCACATCTTCTTTATCCAGTCATCTGTTGACGGACATTTAGGCTGTTTCCATGTTTTGGCTATTGTAAATAGTGCTGCTATGAACACTGGGGTGCAGGTGTCATCCTGAAGTAGGGTTCCTTCTGGATACAAGCCCAGGAGTGGGATTCCTGGGTCATACAGTAAGTCTATTCCTAGTCTTTTGAGGAATCGCCACACTGTTAAAAAAACATTTTCAAAGATCTTCTTGTTTTTTATCCTTGTAAATGTACACCAAAATATTAACAGTCATTTTCTTAAAGTGGTAAGTTTGGGGTGATTTTTCTTTTTCTTCTTTACTCATTTCAGTATTTTCTATGTTTTCTAAAATGAATTTGTTAATAACAATAACCAAGCAGTACTTAAGGATGATCTTATGATAGCACACCCTGGTATTCTGGCCAAGGAACCCAAATCTTATGCACAGGAGACAGGGATGGCCAAAAAAAAAAAAAAGACCTTATTTCTAGCTGAGGCTTTGGCCCCAAATCCTGGAGAGTCCAGCTGCACTACGCTAAGAATTTATCTTTTTTCTCTGCTAGATAGACCTAGGGAGTCTTAAATCTAAGTTTCCTCCCTGTATGAACCCTAAACCCAAAGCCCAAATCAACCTTTGGATCTTACCACTAGGGAGAAAAAGTGACAGCAGATAGCATCAAAGGAAAATGAGGAAAAGAGAGGGGAAAAGAAGAGTTTTGCCTACAGCCACCACCAGGGGCCTTTTCAGGCCTCCCCGGCTCGCCAGGTGGGAGGTGCAAGCTTAGCCCTAGGAAGAGAAAGAAGAACCCAGCAGCAGCTTCCTGATCAAGTGGAGAGAAGCAGATGGGGAACGTGAGCCTGGTTTATGAACTCAGCACATGGCCCTGCTCACCAGCACGAGGCCAACGAATGTTCCTGGCTGAGTGTCACTCCTCTCGGGGTGGGAGGAAAGAGACTCACAATCATCGGAGGTGGGATATGACGGGAAAGACAAGGAGTGGGGGAGGCATGAGGCCCTGAACTACTCCAAGGCCAAGCATGCATTTATTTCTTCTATAATCAGTAGTGTGTGTGTGTTCACTGGCAAAGTATACATCCTCTTGGTTTTGAATACATTGGTATTCAATGATAAACAGATCTAAAATGTTTTTAACCAAATAGACAATTTTATAAGCAGATTCAAAATATTCTGGGAATAATCTTGCTTTGAATCAATGTTCTGTTTCTGCACTTTGGTAACTAAAACATCAAACAGTAGAAATCAAGAGCTATTATTCACCAGTAGACAGAGATCCAGCAAGTTTCACTATAAGTTATGCATTTGTATTGCCATAAACCCAGAGCACTACCAAAAAATTTTAACTGGCTAAAGCTTTCAGGTCATGGGCCTGCCATATCACTCTTCTCCGCACCAGCACTGCGCATGCTTGATGGTTAAGCCAGGCCAACTAACAAGCCACACAGAGGTATCGTCTCCAAATCAGTCCTGGCCTCCGCCAGTTATTTTAACCCTCACCACAAGCATCAGAGCATAAGACCAACCATAGTGCAAGCCTCCGGCTTATTCTGGCTCCAGGCTTTTCCCAGAAAAGGGCAACTTAGAACCTTCCCAGCCTAGGCTGGTCTGACCTGCCCCAATCTTGGCCAATGCTAGTTGGTGCACATTGGCCCGAATGTGAATGTGAAAGCTAAATGGAACAGTGTGTGAACACACAGAGAGCAAACAAAGAGAAGTCTGTGAAATCAAAACAGGTAATTCCCTAAATTATCGAAATGTTACTAGCATATAAGTATCCTCCCATTTTAAAGACCAGATGAAGCTGTCCGACCTCACTATCAACAAAGAAATTCAAATTAAAACAATAAAAATGCTATTTTCCACTTATCAACTTAAAGATATCTTTTTGCAACAGTAGGGTGTGACAATTCTCACACTGCTAACAGAACAACCCTTCTGTAAAATAAAGTAACAATATGATTTTTCAAAATAGATAACCACTGACAAAGGAATTTCACTTCTAAATATCCTAAAGAAATAATCAAAATGAAAGATTCATGTAAAAAATATGTTCACTGCAACCAGAAACCATCCAAAACTAGGTTACAGTACCTTCGTACAATGATCTAAAGAGTTTTTGTGAAGAAAATTACTCGTAATACAATATGAAATTAAAATCACATAATGCAAAACTGTATGCACAGTTAGACCCCAATTATGCTAAAATATACACAAAACGAAGAAAAAGAGTAACATGCCAAGCAGTTTTCATACATTTTCAATTCTTCAACTTTTATACATTTTCCAAGTTTTCTACAATATTTTGGATATTACTCTTATCAAAATAGATGTTATCCATAACGAATTCTTACAAAAGAAACCAGACACCAAAGAATACTTACTGCAAATCAAAATCACAATGAGATACCACTTCACACCCACTAGGATGGCTGTTAACAGAAGACAGACAATAACAAGTGCTGACAAGGATGCAGAGCAACTACAACCCTCACACACTGCTGGTGGGAATGTAAGATGGTGCAGCCACTGTGGGAAACAGCTGGACAGCTGCTCAGAAAGTTAAAGGTGGAGTTGCCATATGATCTAGCAATTTTACTCTTAGGCATACACCCGAAAGAGATGAACACATACTTCCACACAAAAATTTGCAGATGAATGTTTATAGCAGCTTTATTTGTAACAGCCAAAAAAGCAGAGATAATCCAAACGTCAGTCAAGAAGTGAATAGATAAACAAAACATGGTACGTTGACATAATGGAATATTTCTCAGCCATAGAAGGGTATGAGGTATGATACATGGTACAACACGATAAACCTTAAAAACATCATGCTAAGTGGCAGAAGCCAAATTCAAAAGGCCACGTGTGATTCCATTTATATGAAATATCCAGAATAGGAAAAATCTATGGAAACAAAGTAGATTAATGGATAGCTAGGCTGGGACATGGGAGCAATGAACAGTGACTGCTAATTGATATGGGGTTTCCTTGGGGATGATAAAAATGTTCTAAAATTGATTGTGATGATGGATGCACAACTCTGTGAGTACACTAAAAACCAGTGAATTGTACTTTTTAAGTGGGTGACATATACGGTATGTAAATTATATCCCAATATAGCTGTCTTTTAAAAGAAAGTATACTTTATTTCAGTCATAATAAAATTCAAGAACAGGCAAGACTACTCAATGGTGCTAGAAGCCAGGAAAGTGGTTTACCTTCGGGGAAAAGGGAGAGGGTGGGGTTTGGGAGGGAGGAAAAGAGGGAGCTTGTGGAATGCTGGTGACGAGTCATTTCTTGATCTGGCTGATACAATATTAGAGTTTAGGATTCATTGAGCTCTACGCCCATGCTGTTACACATTTTTCTGTATGTATGCCATAGTTCATTAAGAAGTTTTTCTTTTTAAACTGACTTTAAAAAGGAAAACCCTAAAGTTTCTTAACTTAGCCAGACTCTCAAGCCCTAACTTAGTATATTTAGTCTCATTTGAGCCAATTCTATTTATATGGTTAATTAACTAGAAGCAGATTAGAAAATGCAGAATATAAGAATAAGGAAGTAGGAGGCACAGGCTCCCAGGATAAAGCAAGAGAAAAAACTAAGGGAGGACCACAAAGAAAAATGGTGGGGAAGAAGAGTGAGTGTTATAAACAGCAGAAATAAGAATTCAAACAATACAGCAATCCAGAACCATTTAGAAAGTCCTACACAGTCCTGCTAGCCCCGAAACCTCCATATTACAGCGAAAAGTGCAATAAATGATGCTCATAATAGAGACTGTGAATCACCAAAGAAAGAATAAAGTATGTTCAGGATATCCCTGAAAAAATGAGTTTGTAAAATATGCTATCAAGCCATCTATTGAAAAAAAAAAGTTAAAATTTTAAAGACTTGATATTTAAAAAAATAATTATCCAGGAAATAGCTTATATAAAATTTATTCCCTCAAAAAGCCAGATGAATGGGTTATATTGTGCTATTCAAAAAAGATCATACAATGACAAGACAATGGCACAGAATATATCATACTGAGAGGTACCCTCCTGGGGAACAGGTGCCCCAGTGAGTCACTAGAGATTTAAATACCACCCCCTCAAAAACAGTCTACAATTCAAGAGGTCAGCACACATGCATCCAAGGTGCACTCAAAACAATTAGAGTCACGAGACCTAGAGACCTAGAGAAAATTTAAGGTGGAACACATTTACTTTTCTCCAGCACTTAACTGTAGTGACTTTTCGTGGGATCTTCCATATCTTCCTTCTCCCAGGGTCCCTTTCCTACGTCCCAGGCTTGCTCTCACAAGCTGCGTTGGTGGGTGCATGGATTGGGGGGTCGGCTGGTTGGTTTTTCCTGCTGAAGGGTTTCCATCACTCAGGTGTAAAGAAATCAGTGGTTGTTACACAGCATAATCTGTGAGGCTGGTATTACCAAATGGCAACGAAAAGGGAAATAAGGCAACAGAGGCTCGGTGACCATCCCAAGATCACAGCCATACCAGGATTCTGACTAAATGCAAAATTCACAGGTTTGCAGATTTTCAAAAGGAAAGGAGCAGACCTGCGCCCTGGCTGCCCTCACCCTCCTCGCAGCACTGTCCTCCAATGCTGACAGCCTGAAGCAGCAGAGAGAACTGGGTATCGCCAGGAAGTAGGTGGGCCAGTTAGTACAACCCAACCAGCTGCCTGATGTCACAACAGAACCTCAAAGGGTAACGACCAACAGGTCTCCAACCTCCCAACCTTTCCTCCTGCTGGATATGAGATAAAAAGCTGCCAATGCTCCTCTTTCTCTCCTGCCTGCAGGGAAATGAGGCTATTCTCCTTCCTTCCTGTCACTATTAAAATCCTGAAATCATTAGCTGGTAGCTATTTGCCATGAGCTGCTGCTTTTAAAGCAGTTTGTCTTTTCTTCAGCTATTCTACTTTCTTATAACTTCTATGGAGTAAAGACTCTAAAATGAGGGAGATTTACTAAGTTGTCACTGCACTGTCAAAAAGGGTAAAACTGAAGAATGTTCCAAGTTAATGTAACTTTATAACTGCTAGGAGCACTTCTGGTCAGAAAAGAGGTTCTTTCTATTATGTGTTCTTTTCCAGCTTCGGAGAGCCTTGGACCTTAGAGGAGAGGTTGAATTTCCTTTTCCACAGTTTAAAAACAGCCTTTTTATGCCCTGATCATTGCTCAAAGTAAGACAGATACAGAAATGAATTTCCTGTTCACTCATTCACCCATGAACACACACACAAAGGACAGGACCAGACACTATGGGGAATAAATGGAGTTACAGAATTAAAGATCTGTAGGCATGTCTCTGTTCCTTTATCTGTAAAACAGAAATAGTAGTATGTATCTCTACCTTACAATGTTATAAGGAACACATAACATAATCCCCTGTGCAGGGCATATAGTAAGCACTCCTATGTTAACTACAGGAAAAAAGCAAGATGAGGAAAATTATGTACGTACAGTGTGCCACTACTCATCTAAATAAGAAGGAGGTTATAAATACACATATATACATACACATATTTGCCTATATTAAAACAATGAAAGAATAAAATTTAGGAAGAAAGAGAATCCAGGACATAGGAATCAGAAACAGAATCTAGACTTCTTTGAGCAGATGTTTTGTAGATTTGACTTCAGGCCATAAATTTTATTTTTTACATAATTATGCAACAAAGCTAAATTTTAAAAGCAACTCTTCAAATCAAAAGCAAAAAGAAACAAATGAATTTAACTACATATCAAGTTGGTAACAAAGCCACACTAAGAACTATTCCAAGTGACTTTAAAAGATAATAATTTGACTATACAGACCTAGTAGGACACATCCTAGGGCAAAAGTAAATTAAATAAATGAATAAATAAATCTTAACCCTTCTTCAAATACTCCTATTGTTTGTGGTAATATTGGGACTATTATACTGAGACTTACAAATGCATCTGTGAGATCATGTAACTGAGAATTTAACCTAGTGCTACGAATAGGATTTTCAGCATGGGAGAAAGAAAATACAGATGTAAGATCAACGAGGTTAAATAAAAACCCTGAAATCCTGAATGGAATGACCAATATGAATGCATGACTTATTATATCTTTAAAACAAATTACACATTTCCTAGCTCTGTCTACTTAGAACACAGAGATACCACAGACACCTCTAGTGCCCAAACTGTGGTCTCTCAGGACCATTTGTCACCAAAAGAAACCAGGGCTCCTTAAAGAAATGACTGATTCCAGATATGGGCAAGAAACATGTAAAATGAGCCTGACAAATCTTAACTTCCTGCATTCTGGTTTGATGTCACAGACTAATTACTGGTGGTATTGTGTCAAAAGGATTTGATGGCCAGTCAATCCATCCCAAAGGCCAAAAGTGGGACAAACTGGCTATAAAGTTAATAACTGTAATTGATTGAAATATTGAGAGAAACATTTAGAGAAAATTACTAGTAATTGTACATCTACTGAATCTAACCATTTTTTTAAGTGGGGCTGGTTTTATGTATGCCTTTTTTATTTCATTTTTCTGAAAAAGTTTAACTGCCAATGTAAGAAATTTATATTACATTGGCATAAAATTGGTACATAAAAAATAAAGGCAATTTTTGAGAAGACAAAAAATGTAATGACAGAGAAGCTTTAAGATTAATCTGGCAGCAATAAAAACTGTCAAGAGGACAGAGTTTAGTAATGGGGATGGGTACTCAGGTAGCCACAGGCTTGGAACGAACACCTTCCTTCTCACCACCTTCCATTTCTGAAATACAATGTGTGAGTTTCTGTACTAAACCCCCACTTATGGCTTCTTCTTTAACCTCATTAGAACCATGCAAGGTTGGAGTCTGGATCTGCTGCTTCCTGGCACTAAATCCCTCTATCTTAATTTTAAAACTGGAATAGCAGTGCTGCTTTCACAGGGCTGCTGTGAAGCTTTAATGAAAAAATTGTATATGAATGTACTTTGTAAATGATCTGGCTCCACACAAATAAATGGCATTAACATCATTATGATTATTATTGTTTCTTAGATCTTCAAATAATCAGATAGCTCTGCCTTGCTCTTAAAGATGTGAAGACCGAGTTAAAAGTCAAAGAATTTACTGAGCTGGTGATGAGCTTTACAAAGGTTCCTTACAAGTGAAGCAACAAAGGCATTTCCTGACCAGTCCTGTGCAGTCTTCTAAAGCGTGAACTGTTTGTTTGTGGACACACTATTTGCTACCATCCAAGCTCAACAACTGGAGGGGCGAAGCAACAGATGCTGGGTGCCTGGCCAATTCCTCCAGGAACTGCCAGAGTCTGTGGCATAAAACAATAGGAAAGATCACAATCAAGTTAAAGACAAGATATCTCAATGTGCTCCACTGCAAAAATGTTGTTTGTTAAACATAAAAAGGTCATTTGAGGAACAGCCAATGAACAACTAATTAGCAGAGCAAACAAGAATATTTTTGAAGGAAAAAGCTACAGAGGACAGAACTTTAAATTACTCAGTTTTGAATGATTTATTTTGCACAACTATATATAAAGGGTTTTTTTGTGGAAACCATGAGGTCATTGTTTTCCAGAGTCTTCACTATAGGAAACAGCTGTGGGGAACTACACAAACAGAGAACACTGCCCTATTTAGTAGCCCCTCATTGTGACAAGTGTATAGATGGGGACAGGAAAAATCCATCAAACCACACACTAGTAACAAAACAAAAGTGGCAGAGTCAAACTAAAACTTCAAGCTTCACAAAGGAAGATGTAAAACAACTAACTCAGGATAAGCATCTGTATTATTACATCTATACCAATTTCAGAGAGACTGTCATGTTTAGCTGAGATCAGCTCCTTTCTATATGGGTCACCAAAAACTTAAAGGATTCACTTTGCACAGTGCCTGATTTATGAGAGACATTTAACAAATACAATAACAACAACAAAAAAGTTTCCCTGGGGCTCTTATGTTCAAATGCTATGCAACCTGTCTAAACCTGAACTTGTCCACCCACCTCCAGAACTCTTTTCCATTCTGTGCTTCCAATCTTGAAGAGCGCCACCCCAAGACTCCCTGTTTCAAAACCTCAAAGTTATTTTCATCTCTTCATCTTATCCACTCTTCGCATAAAGCTGCCAAATGCTGTCAACTCTGCTTCAAATATACACTTTGTATATGTTCAAAAGTCAGCGGAAAGGAGCAGGAGGCAAGGAAAGGGAAGGAAATAAATGGGACCCAGCATAATCTGAGGTGAGTGACTCTCCTTTACAGTACCACCCAGGACTCTGCTTAAACTTGTCCAGTGATTTAAAAAACTACTATTAGGTGAGGCAGCTCATTCCATTTTCAGAAAACTTGCTCAAAAAGTTCTGTATACTGAAGCATGCCACCCCTTTCTCCAATTTCTGCCCTCCTCTCTCAAGACTTAAAGCCTAAGTGTGATCACGGCCCTCAAGTGAGGTCTGACCCATGTGCACAACAGAAGTGGCCCATCGCTGGCACATCTACGTCTACAACCCAGGCTGGTCTGCAAGCTGTCCTCACTCATGGCATCTTCAGTTCAGATTAAGCAATACATTGTGCAGCTCTGAAAAAGTAATGCCGAATAAGACACACTCATTGCCATCGAGGGCCTCACAGTGGAGGAGACAGACATGAACGGGTTTAGGAAAAAGAATCCTCTTGCCTCTAAGAGGAAATATTTCTACACTTTTCACAGTCATTCAACATGGGGATTATCTGATCCTTGGAAGAATGTATAAATAAATCCATCCAGTTCTGTTATCTTCTGGGGGAACAGGCAGTTCTTTCAATAACTCTTACAATTTCTTCCTCAGTTACTGGTCAAGCCAGGTTTTCTTACTGTAACATTATTAGTTTACATTTTGTTGAAAGTTATGGATTTTATCAGTGACAGGCAGACCTTCAGCAAAGATGGTTATCTATCCCAAGTTAATGTAGATATTTAACACTAAAATTCACACAGGACTGGTTTTTGAAACCTGACAAAATGATTGCAAAATTTGTACAGAGAACTTTTAAAGAACAACAAGATAGCTTACCTCTTACCCAAGGTATGCAGTACTTTTCTGCACCGGTTTTAGTCATGCTTAATACTGCAGAACAAAAATTTCACAGTGGTGGGGGCGGAGAATAGCATGAAAAGAACAAGCAGCAACAATGCCATGTGGTACCAATAAAAGCACTGATGAAACAGAACACAAAATTCAGAAATAGACTGTAACTCTAAATATGGAGAAGTCTTTTACAAATAAACAAGGTAATGATAAGGTTGGGGTAACACTACCAGTTAACACTCACTTAGCACTGATGGTATGCCAGGCCCTCAGGCAAATTTTCCTCTTACTTGTTTTCAGAACAACCACTGAGGTAGATATACTATTGTCCCCATTTTACAGATGAAGAAACTAAGCCCCAAGAGTTAAGTGCCCAAGGTTGTTTCATGGCTAGTCAGTGGTGCAGCCAGGACTGGAAACAGGCAGTCTGGCTCCCCAGTCCAGGCTCTCAGCCACTCACTATACTATACAAGATGGGAAATCTCACCTTAAAATAAATCCCCACTTTACACATGCACCAAAGCAAGCTCCAAATGTTGAAGAGATAAATATTTTAGAACATGATAGAAAAACCAACAAAAAATAAAATAGAGAAGTTACATACAAGCATAACTTTTCAGCTATACTATACAGTAATAAAAGCAATAAGGGAGAAGGACAGGTTCAACACACTAAAACCTTTTGTAACATACAAAGTAACAAAACTAAAAGAGTAAGAGACTGAGAGAAGTATCTATATCAAATGTATCAGGGCTTAATGAAGTTGTTACCGCAACACATCTACTCTCTATAAAGAGCTCTAATAAAGTTTTTAAAAAAAGAAAAGAGAAGAGAAGAAAAGAAGTTTCAAAATCCCAAGAGACACCATGAGCAAGTGGGATTTACTTCTGGAATAAAAAAGAGGTTCAACATCTGAAAATCAATCAATGTAATATGCCATATTAATAGAATGAAAGAAAAATACATGATCATCTCAATTGATGCAGAAAAAGCATTTGACAAAAATTCAACATTCCTTCATGATAAAGACACTCAACAAAACTCACAAAAAACCTGTTGGAGCTAATAGATAAATTCAGCGAAGTGCAGGACACAATATCAACACACAAAGACCTGGTGCATTTCTACACACTAGCAATGAACAACCTAAAAATGGAATTAAGAAAACAGTTCCATGTATAACAGCATGAAAAAGAATAAAACACTTGGGGATAAATTTAACCAAGGAGATGGTGAAAAATCTGCACAGTGAAAACTACAAAACTTCAGCGAAGGAAACTAAAGGCAACAGAAATGTTAAAAAAAAAAAAGACACTCCATGTTAATGAACTGGAAGACTTAATATTGTTACAATTATATTTCTACCAAAGGATCTACAGATTTCAGTGCAATTCCTATTAAGATCCTAAAGGCATTTTTGTTTTTTATTTTATTTTATTTTATGTTTGCAGAAAGAAAAGCCTATTCTAAAATTCATATGGAATCCCCAAGGACTCCAAAGCCAAAACAATCTTTAAAAAGAAGAACAAATTTGAAAGAATTAAGCTTCCTGATTTCAAACTTACCACACAGCTACAGTAATCAAAACAGCGTGGTACTGAAACAAAGACAGACACATAGATCAATGGAATAGAATAAAGAGCCTAGCAGTAAACCCTCTCATATACAGTCAATTGATTTTTGAAAAGGGCACCAAGACCATTCAACAAAGAAAGTAGTCTTTTCAACAATGGTGCTGGGAAAACTAAATATCCACAAGCAAAAGTATGAAGTTATAACCTTACCTTACACCATATACAAAAGTTAATTCAAAATGGATCAAAGACCTAAATATAAGAATTAAAACTGTAAAAGTTTTAGTAGAAAACATAAAGGGAAAGCTTCATGACGTTGGATTTGGCCATATTTCTTGGATCTGACACCAAAAGCACAGGGAACAGAAGAAAAAAACAAATAGATAAATTGGACTTCATCAAAAATAAAAACTTTGTACATCAAAGGATAATTATCAAAAGAGTAAAACAACCTTCAAAATGGGAGGAAATAGTTGCTAATCATATATCTGATAAGGATTAATAGCCAGAATATATAAAGGACTCCTACAACTTAACATCATCTACAACAAAAAAATCCAACTCAAAAATGAGAAAGCGCTTAGACAGACATTTCTCCAAAGATGATATACTAAAGGCTACTAAGTACTTGAAAAGAAGGCCTAAGTCATTAGTTAAATCATTAATAACGAATGATAATTAGTCATTAGAGAAATGCAAATCAAAACTACAATGAGATAATACTTCACATATGCTAGGATGGCTAATATCAAAAAAAAAAAAACCCAGAAAATAACAAGTGTTGGCAAGGATATGGAGAAACTGGAACCCTCATACACTGCTGGTGGGAATGTACATGATGCAGTCACTGTTGAAAAGTTTGACCATTTCTCAAAAAGTTAAGCACAGAATTACCATATGATACAAAAGAATTGAAAACAGGGACACACATAGATACTTGCATGCCTATGTTCATAACATCATTATTCACGATAGCCAAAAAGCAAAACCAACCCAGGTGTCCATCAGCAGATGAATGGATAAACAAAATGTAGTATATACATTAAAAGAAATGAAATTCAGCCATAAAAAGGAATGAAATTCTGCTACATGCTACAAGGATGAATATTGAAAACATCACCCTAAGTAAGCTAGACACAAAAGGATTTTGTGCATTGTGTTGTGTAATTCTATTTACGTGGGGTACCTAGAAAAGGCAAATTCACAGAGACAGGAAGTAGAGCAGAGGTTACCAGGGACTAGAGGGGAGTCATCGCTTAATGCATACAGAGTTCCTGTTTAGGACGATGAAAAAATTCTGGAAATGGAAAGTGGCTGATGGTTGCACAACACTGTGAATGTACTTAATGCCACCGAGAGTTGTACTTAGAAGCAATTAAAATGGTAAATTTTGTTATGTGTATTTTACCAAAAAAAATTTTTTAATTGGGAAAAAATGCCCATAGACAAATGAGCAAAGAATGAATATAAACTGACAATAACAAATTTCAATTATCAACTCCAACGCATTCTACAAATGGTTTGAATACCGAACATGCACCATTCACCGGACTGGGTGAAGTTCATGGTCAAAACAGCAGCACTGTAATTTTTATAATAATAAGTCAAAAAGATGTCCAGAAGCTTTTGATGCTCTGAGAACATGTCTGGAAATTTATCCTAAATAAATAACACAACAAAGCAAAAGGCTATAAACATGATTCAGGTTCATCGTAATAAAAAAGGGTAGGGGGGAACTACCCAATAAAAGAGGACTGGATGATTATTGCTTAGCAATATGATACAGACGTATTATTAAATATTAAACAGTATTATGAGTACTATCTAGAAATATGGGGAAATGTTTTATAAGTTGCATGAAAAAAAGTCATAATCCAAAATGGCCTGGCCAGGATGATAGCAATTACGTAAAATATGTATATATGTGGACAAGTACAAAAATGTAAACTGATGGCACTTTAAGGCAATGTGTTCAGCACAAGTGAGACCACAAATGTCATCATCACACTGCATACTACCCTGAGTTCAAGTTGAAGCTCTGCGCCTGCAAATGTGTCAAGAACCAAACTAGATCAAGTCAAAATAACAGATTTAGTGCTAGTTTATGTTGCTGATTGGAAAGATACATTTAAAACCTCAGAATGGGGGTTTTATAACAAATAAAAATCTCTAGCCAAAACTCCACCCTACGCTACTATTTTCTTTCATGAGTTACCACGAGACCTCAAACATAACATGTCTAAAATAGAGCCAGCACCTCTGAAAACCGAGGGCAGCCTCGGTTTCCCAAATGTGACCAGGCTCAAAGAGGCTAAGATATATTCTGTTCCCCCTTGAAGCCCCCAGTTCTGTCCCTGCCCTCTCTCATCATCACCCCACCCATCCTCAATGTCCCTGGCCTCGGAGTGAGCATTATTTTTAAAATAAATTAAAGAAAAAGACAATCATACCACAAGTCTGTCTGAAATTCCTTAGTGGCTGCCCTCACAAGATGCTGTTCTCTGACATAGCATCCAAGGACGGAGGTCAGAGATCTAACTCTGGCCAAAGCATCACACAGTGACCTTCTCCCCATTCCATCCACCCAAACCATGTCCCCTACCCTTCTGCTCCAATCACACTAACCTTGAAATGATTAGGATAAGCCAAGTATTTTGAGGTTCTCAGCCTTTGCACTTGATGGATTTTCTGACCTGGAAAGGCCTTTCCCACCTCTCCACCTCTCCCTTTACCCACCCAGAGGATTCCTACCAAAGCCTTCAAGACAGTCCAGGTATCAGGGGGAGGGTATAGCTCAGTGGTAGAGTGTGTGCCTAGCATGCATGAGGTCCTGGGTTCGATCCCCAGTACTTCCATTAAAGATAAATAAATAAAAACCTAATTACCTCTCCCCCAAAATTAAATAAATAAGTTTTACAAAAAACAAAGAAACAGCCCAGGTATCATTTCTTCAGGCCCCCACAACCCTCACATTCCTTCTTCAAGTGATCTCTCCCCTAGGTTCGCACAGCCTCTGTCACAGTGTTCATCCTACCCTACTGCAACTGTTTCTTTACTCCGCCTTCCCTCCTAGACTCTGATTAAGGTCATGGACATTCTCACTCATATTCATAGCCCCAGTGCCTCCCAGAACAGGACCAGCACAAGAAATGTGCTCAATAAATCTGTGAGCTTAATGAATCATGTCAACAAAATACGAACCAGAATTTGACTCTTAATGGGTATAAACTGATGTTTCCACAGCTCTGCACTGTATTCAGGGTTAAGAACAGGAAATCAACCTAAATAAACCAGGTTTCACAACGCTGCTTTCCTGGTTTTCTGCCTCTCTCTCTGGCTGCACCTTCAACAAGTCAAATAAGTCCCCCCCCCATCCTCTTGTTTTCGCTTCCCCCAAGGGTCTGACCTTGGGCTTCTGATCCTAACACACTCAGTGCTCCCGGCTTCAGTTACCACCTCTATGCAGTTAACTCCAAGTCTCCACAGCTGGTCCTAAATTGCACCATATTTCCAACTGTCTATTAAGACTCCTTAGATATCCCACGACCCCCAGCCCCCAATATTTCAAATTAAATTCATGGTCTCCCCTGCTCCTGTGTTCTCCGACTGCTCTTTCTCTATCAGATTTCCCCTATCTTCTCCATCACCAGATTGGAAACTTTGGTGTTACCCTTTACCTCTCCATCTCCTGGAGTACCCTTAATGATGTCACGGCGTCCTCCCGAATGTCTCCGGGGTTCACCCTTTCCCCCTCCTTTTCCTCAGGTCATACCTCTGATTGCCCTCTCCCTGATTTACCTTCTCCTCCATCTGATTCATTTTTTGCTCACCATCAGACCCATTTTCCTAAAACATCTTTTTTCATCAAATCAGAGTCTGCACAGCTCAAGAAGCTTCAATTTTGAATCACTACTGATTGCAGCCTCAATGCTAAACTGTTGGGACAGACTTTCAAGGCCACCCATAATCTGTCCCCTCGCATCTCCTCAGCCATCTACATTTATGTCCCCTCCTCTCCAAATCAGTGGTTCTCAATCAGGGACAATTTTGCCCCCCAAGGGACATTTGCCAATGTTTGGAGACAGTTTTGATTACCATGACTGGGGTGAGGGAAGGGAGTACTATCAGCATCCAGTGGGTAGAGCACAGGGACACTGCTCAACATTCTCCAAGGCCAGGACAGCCCCCCCACAACAAAGAATCATCCAGCCATTAATGCCGGTAGGTCAACAGTGCCAAGGCTGAAAAAAGTGCTCCAAATCAAATCCCCACCACAGACAGCCCAGTGGCCTTTCTGACCCTAGACAATGTTCCAATGCTGCACCTTTGCTCAGAAGATTTCCTCGACAATCTGGAATGGCATCTCTTCCCCTCTTAACTATCCAAGCCTTTTTTATCTTCAAGTCCCATTCAAAGCCATATTTCATAGCTTTATACACCATCTATAGACTGATGACTCCCACATCTTTATCTCCAGCCAGTCCCAACCTTCTGAACTCCGGACTCCCTTATCAAGCTGTCTACTAGACATCTGACAAGTGTCCTGTTTAACACATCTGAACTCCTGATCCCTCAAAACTGCTGCTCAAGGAAATGTACATCCCCAGTAATCACTCTGCTGCTCAAAACAAACACCAAGGAGTTATTCTGGCAGCTCCCCTCTGCCTCAGTGCCTCCCCTGGAATCAATCCTTTAGCAAGTCCTGTCGAATCCACTTCCAGATATATCTCAAATCCATTCACTTGTCCACCACGTCCACCACCACCTTTACCTGGTCTATCACAAGAGCCTCCTCACTGGCCTCCCTGCTTCCAGTCTACATTCACTATTTAGCATTGAGAATGATCATTTCACATTTCAATGAGCTCGTGTCAGAACTCTACTTAAAACCTGCAACAGCTCCCCACTGCTCTTAGAATCAAATCTAAATCCCTTAGCTACGAGAGGATCTTAAAGGATCCAGCCTCAGCCTACACAGCCCCCTGTTTCAGCCTCATCTATCCTGCGCTCTCCTAGCTCTCTAAGCCATGAAAAAGGCCTGTCAGATTTTCACATGTAACCTCAACCCCTGGCCCTCTGCAGAGCCTTCTGAATAAATTTTATTCCCCCTGCCTGGCCACACCCATTATTCTCTCTCATACACCTAATCTCTTCCTTCTTGGCTCTTAAAATTTTAAATTCCACTTTTATCAGTGTGTGTGACCATCTGCCTCCCTGTTACTGTAGAAGTTCCAGGAAGGAATGGACCGTGCGACCTCATACCATTTTTTTCACCATCACTATACCATGTGGTTTACCCCTACATACCCAGTGACTAGCACAGCATGTGGCATGGAGTTAGGCGCTCCATACATTCATAAATTTGTCGAAGCTTAACTGCCAATAATGAATGAACGAATCCTGTCCTTACACTTCAGCTCATATCGATTTCACCCTTCTCTGAACTCCCACTGAACTTTCCCAGTCAATACAGTTTTTAAAAAACTTCCCTATAAACAGGTAAGATCTCTGAGGGCAAGAACTTTGTCCTATAATCGTCCTACTTAATCCTCTATTCCCAGCCCCTCCCCTAAACTAGCCCCTCTACCCACGGTTAATTGCTCAGTAAAAGTGGTGCGAGTCAGCAAACACAAGAGTCCATAACTGCCCTGTGCTTCTTCACTCCCCAGCTAGTTCTCTTTCCACTTTTCTCACGCGTGCCCATGATCCCCCTTTCCCACCTGGTAAGAAGCCGCAAACACCAGGTGGACACTCACTGGAGAGAGAGCCAGGTGTTTAAGACAAGTGGAGAACAGGCATACCTAGAGGAAACAAAACTGACCTACGTGAAAGAAAACAAGCTTGAAAACTGAAGAGCGGGGCAGTCACTTGCAAGAGGAAGCAACCGTCAGGGGCGAGGCCCTAGCATGCAGCATGGAGGGGTCAGGCTTTCGCTGGGCAGTCTGGTGAGCATGCCAACAGTTTAAATGCACTTTCCCTCTCACTCGGCAGCGCCTCGTCTAAGACTCACTCCTTAGAAAAGGAGGCTTGACATATGTTGAAGGACTGGCTATAATGCTTAAAAATTTTATACAGCCAAAACATCCATCAGTGGCTTCTATACAGCTGTTAAAAAGAATGAGGTGGACTTGGACGTACTAACCAAAAACAACAAAACTATGCTGCCCGTGATACATTTGAAAGTCCACGGCTGGGTCATAGGGGAAAGCAAGTCACAGAGCTCTACGGGGAGTAGGAGCCCATCAATGTAAAAGACGTGTTTAGATACACATTTAAATGACCTGAAAGGATAATTTTTTAAGGAAGACTTCCAAAAGCACCTACGTCTCAGGAGCAATAGCACACATACAAAGCTAACAGCAACTGACCTTATTTTCTCTGTAACTCAGCCTTGCAATCTTACAGGAAATAAAAAAAAATGCTACATGTTTCAACAAGTCCACCCTGCCTGCTTATGTTTTTCTGTTGAGACCTGTCGTTTCAGCGGTTGTACTGATAAGGCAACCACAGAACCAGGGCTCAATGTGTACATATGTCAGCATGGCAGGGGTGACAAAGTGCGGAAGTGAGAGCTCTGGTTCTGCTCCCTCAGCCTGCAGCCAGCAGACGGACACTCACATCTCACCCAGGTCTCCTTCCAAGTCTAAAACTTGATGATTCTCTCACCGCCTTTCTCCTCCAGAGATGTGGAGCTTCACTAAAAGAAAAGTGGCAGGGTTTGACAGACAAGGGAACTGACCAGGAAGAGACATACTTTCTACTTATTACTATCATAAGTCTGAATATGATCTACACAATTTCATCTTTTTTTCTACTTTTCAAATGAATTTGAGGGATACCCTGAAGTTAGATTACTACTTGGGAACAACTATGATATACCAAAACCAGGAAAACTTTTTATTATAAATCTACAGCATAAAATCAGAGCCCCCCAGCACAAGTCCACAACAAAGTACGGTGTGAAACCGAGCCAGTGTAAGCCCCTGACTGCTAGCTGGTCCGCACTATCCATTTACACACATACACTCCCTTTGTAACCCAAGAACTCTCACTAATAAATAAGCACCACCAGGCACCAAAGTTCAAGGAAAAAAAATATGGGAGGGAAAATTCATCAATTCCTTTTTGTTTTTACTGCAAATTTGGAAGGAGTTCCCACAGTTCTTTTATCACTTGTTCTAGCTGTTCTTTAGAAGCACAGCTTGAAAACTGCTGCTATAAAACCTATCTTTGTTGCTTGAAAGATGATCATCCATCTTTTACTTACTGCAAAAGGGCACTGAGTACTAGAAGTTAGACAGCATCTGTATGAACCCAGAGCATCCATGCTAACTTCCTATTAAAGCTAGGACAATAGGATTATTTCCTCCTAAAACAGCATATTGAGCATTCAGGTTTCAAAATGACTTACTCTCAGAGTTACTAAGAAAGTGATTCAAGGATTCTGCCAGTGAAGTCTATTACTCTAGTGCTGCAGCATACACAGAGAGAAGTTACAAGGTAGCCACCTAAAAGGCTGGGAAAGTAAGGAAAATCTGCATTAAGGGAGCTCAAACCATTCTTTCAACAGTTTCTCCCAACCTCAGCGCTACTGCTGGGTAATTCTTTTTGAGGGATAATGCCTTCACGTTGTATGATAGCCTCATCCGTGCAATCTCCCCACTAGTTGCCAGCAGCACCCCACCCCAGTTGTAACACCCAAGTAAGTGTCTCCAGACATCACCAAGTGTTCCCAGGAGTGAGGGGGTAGGGGAAGCAAAAGTGCCCTGGAGAACTACTCTAAAAACAGGAGAAAAACTTCTCTGTAAAAAGAGAAAAAAAGATCCAAGTAGCAGCTAGAGAAGTTTCTTAAAGCTTACCAAGGTTGGGTCAGTCAACTCATTTCATTCTGGAAAATGAATACAACCTTAACAACCATCTAGCTCAGCCAAAACCAAAAATCCGTTTACCTGGCAAGCTCCTTTAGACGATAAAAATACAGTCAAAGCCATATGAAGTGCTTCTGGAGACCTCGAGGCAAATTACCTCAAGATGGCAAATTGGTTTCATCTCCTGTGCCAACTGGTAGTGGCTGCCTGGAGCCCAGAACTCAACAGGATTCTGAGGCTGAATGTGAGCTCATGAGAAGGGTATCTGCATCAACGTCTGCCACCAGCAGGCGATGCGGGCGTGGTGACCAGTATGCCAGGCACCCACTTTCTTGGCGTTCCATTTCCTTTATGCTTCATGGGCAGGTACAGTGTTTTCCCAAATGAGTGCCTGGCACATGGTAGGTGAGGCACTTTGGTGGGCTGCCTACAAGGTAATCCCTTCCTTTCCTCATCTCTTCTATTAAGGCAGGAAAACCTAAATACTACCTTCCTGCCTCCATGGCAGCCAAGCAAGAGTGGTCAAGAGCCATGATTACAGTCAATGAGATGTAGACAGAAGCCTGTGAAGGGGACTTCTGGAAGAACTTTTATTTCTCTAATGACTTCCTGCCTCAATTGGGTAGAATGCCCTGAGGTGACAAACATTAAGGACAAAGAGCCAGTAACAGCTAAAGACAAGACAATGGAAACACAGAAATGGCCTGAGTCCTTCTTGGGATCATAAAGCCACTGTACCACCTTAGAACCGCCTACTCCAGACGTCTTACAGGTGGATAATTCCTTGACTGCTTAAGGAATCATGGTTCGGGCTTCCTCTTTCTGATGCAGAAGGTATGCCTGACTGACCAGGTAAACTGTCAATAAATGGGAAGTGAATGAATGAATGCAAAGTGAAATCTACTAAAGGGTCAGAAGATTACATTTTTTTAAAATAGTGCCTCTAAGACACTGTTCGACTTTGCCAAAGCATGCCTATAAATCAGTCTCTGCTTTTCTAGAATTACTGACCCATTTCTGTTACAGTTTTTTAACAGATAAATAAGTGAATACGGCCTCTTAAAAAGCAATGGAAATGTTCACATACAAAAATGCTGGAGAAACTGATTTTCACATTTTGGAAAAGAATAGAAAACCAAACTGAAGACACTGAGCTCTGACCTTGAAAAGTTTGCAATTGCTGCGGCTACCTTCAGGCAAGTATTAGCAAAAAGAAAAAAGAAAAAGACTGATATAGCTGGTTAGTTGCCATTCTCTCCTACTTTCTTATTCTGAAATCTCTGACATGGATTTCTTTTTCTCCAGTCCCTATCCCAGTTAAGTATTTCCATTCAAATATCCAAGATCAAACAGAAAGCATTTTTTCTTTGAGAAAAACAGGGTAGAACAACATAAATAAATATAAATAAACTGTAAGTAAAATGTATTAAAAGGGGAGGAGTGGCCCTTGGCAGTACTGTTCCTCAGCAAGAAAGCGGGTCCTCAACCAAGTGCGAGCTTACCTTAGCTAGCCTACTGTTTTAGATTTTAATCAAATCACTTACTCTTTAATAAATGTTGTAGAAGGAAACCACAGCACCAGTGGAAAGCAAGTACCACTTGCCATAATAGAAGTCAAATGTAAAAGCAAATCCAATGAAAGCATAACCTTATTAAATTCTACCTAGTGTTGCTAATTGAAGTCTCTAAACTTGAAGTTTGGTCTCTTTGTTTAAAAAAAAAGGTGGGGGAGTGAGCAAGAGGCTACCACCAAGTTGAGACTTTCTCTTGGGCACAATCAGGACAGAAACAAAGGAAAAGGAATTAACTTTCTTACTGTGTGACTTCATTCTATTTAATTCTATTTATATCCATTTCCCACCTAAAAGTAGCCCTCATACAATCTCAAATCATCTTCCCCTTTTGCTTAGAATAAGAGCCCATTTCCTTAGTGCAGCCTAAAGGATGCTACACCATCTGGCCCCAACCCACCACTCACTCACAGTTCTCACGTACTCACGACAATGACCCAAGAGCCACATCTAGCCCACCGCTTGTTTCAGTTTGGCCCATGAGCTAAGAATGATTTGTAGAGATGAATATGTGTCATGAATCTGACGACAGGGAACATTAATTTTGAACTCCAATTAAGCTAAATAAACATCTTTGCCAAAAAAAGAATCTCATTCTTTTCACTAGCAGAACTGTTTTACAAAACATGGTACTCAATTAGTACAATACTTTAATTTTAGGCAATAAAAACGTATAGAAAAGTGTTTTCTCTTGTTATATAAGTACCTACATAATATCCTGGATTTTGTATCTCGACCAGCAAAGCATAAAATATTTGCTGTGCGGCCCTTTACAGAAAGGTTTGCCCATCTGTTGGCCAAGCGCACCAGACTCTTTACCATCTCAGGGCGTCCACACTTCTTACACCTGGGAAGTGCTTCCCCGGGGCTCCCCAAGGCTGGCTCTCCTTGGGGTTACTCAAATCTCAGAACCTCACCTCCTCCTGCAGAGGTCAACCTAACCCTTCCCCCTCCCCATTTATCATACCCTGCCAGCACATCAGTCACATCACCAGGTTTTACTTCTTTCAAACCACTATCTGATATTACCTCCTTAACTTATTAAAGTTTTTAGTAACAAAAATAGTAGCAGCAAATGCCCATAGTACTAAGCTCAATGGAAGCATTTTACAAACCAGGTTGAACCCTATAAAAGTGCCAATCTGTACCTCAGAACGATCAAAAATGGGTAATTTCATAGCGTTCAACCTAATATACCAACTTCTTAGCAGCTCACAATCACCTATGAGGTAGGGACCAGAGGAGGCGGCTGTAGCACAGAGAGGTTGAGTAACTTGCCCGCGGTCACACAGCTAGTAAGTGGCAGAACAAGGATTTGAACCCAAGCTCAACACTCCCAACCCCAACACTCCCAACCCCAAGAATGTAAGTTCCAGGAAGGTAGACAATCTTGTTCACTGTCCCATCCCTCCCCTACGCCCAACACAGAGCTTGGCACGGAGCATGCCCTTAATAAATACGCGATGAATGAACGAGAGTGCCTCCTCCTTACAATCAGCTCTACCTGCCGGGGCTCGGGGCCCAAACCTCTCTCTTTAGGCAACCAGTGCACTTGGCCCACTGGGCGCGACCGAACCGGGAAGGGAGCCTTGGGCAGGCGGTGCCCCAAGCGCTCACCTTGAAGTCGCGGCTGTGCTGCGGGGTGTACTCCAGGGTCCACAGGGCCCGTACCAGGTGCGCCAGCTGCTCGGTGACCTCGCCCTGGCCCTGCGCGCCGCGGCCCGCGGGCTGCTCGGGGTCAGG